TCAGCAGCTATGAGATCCACTAAAGCCATGTAGACAAGAATTCCGGCTGAGAGCGAGTCCAAGATACCTTCAGTGATCAATGCTCCGACGCTGTGAGAATTGAATGAGGACGCCACTGCGGTTCCAATCCCGATCCCTATCGGGGTTGTGAGGGCGAAAAAACAAGCCATTATGGTTGCTGATTTGTTCCTGAATTGCGCTTGGGAGATGCATCCACCGAGCGCAAATCCTTCAAAGAATTGGTGGAAGGATAGTGCTGCGATTAGAGGCCGGATTGTACAAGGAGACTGAGATACTCCAAGGGATAGACCGATGATTATGGAATGTGACACAATTCCAAGCTCCAGAACCTAACAGTATTAGTAAAGGTGAGATTACAAATTTTGGAGCTTTTTGAAGATAATAAAAACCCAACTAAGACCGATAAACAATGATATTTGTGTGTGAACCAAGTGGTGATTTGAATCAGAAAAAGGGAACAGAGCTTTTTACCTGAGAAACAACGATATGCCTAGCTCCATTTCCGAGATCCAAACCCCCGTGTGCGTGTCCGTGCCCGTGTCCATGTCCATGTCCATGCCCGTGCCCGTGTCCATGAGCATGACCAATGTCCATTTTACTGTGTCCTTCACATGAACCATGACCAGGAGGATGACTATGTCTATGATGAGCAGCATGAGCATGAATGCCAACAATGTGAATCCCACCACTGTCTTCTTCTCCAAACACTTTCTCATCATTCGTTCCTTCTGCAACCAAGGGAACAACAATACCCGGTGATTGTTCACGGCCAGGCGGTTCAACAGACTCACTAGCTTCCCTCTCTTGCTTCCGTTCATAGTACTGCGTCCCCATGAAATCCACAAACAGAGTGATCAGAGCTGCAACCATCGCAAAGAACCCCGGGAACGGAAACTTAGACCAAGGGAAATCCGGTAAGCACGGGTTCTTCAACGCTTCCGTGCCACCAGCCAACATATGAACAAAACCCGTGGCAAGGATCACACCAGCTGCAAAGGCTTTAGCAGTCACAAAGAGATTACCATCAGTTTGAAGGAACCGACGGTTCCTGCCAATGAGTGGTATAGTTACACCTGCAGCTCCAGCTAATAGAATCGAAGCAATGGCTACAAATTTAAGTAGAAACGCAGCGGAATCATCACGGCAAAGGTCTGACTCGTTAGCATTGCATAGAACATTAGATGAAGTAGCAGCCATTGTCTCAGGAACTATCTGCAAAATGGACTCTGTTGCTGTTTTTTAAAAAACAGAGGACCATTGAAACAAATCAAGCATATCAGAGCAAATTCAAGATTACATTTGTGAATAAATCCTAGCAATTGATGAGAAAGTGCGAGACTTTGAATCAAATCACATGGAAAGACACCAAAGTATGAAACTTTAAGTCAAATGAAATAGTTGAGGAAGTGTTCGATGAAATACCTGAGAGAGAATCTGTTTCTGATCCTAACAAGTATAAAGGAACCAGTTTCCAAAGAACCTAAACAAGAAAACCCAGAATCAGTTTCGGCAATTCAAAATCACAAATGAAACAATCAAATTCCAAAATGGAGATTGATTGATTACGAACATCGATGAAGAACATTGGGGTCTAAGATGTCCTCGGGATCATGGAAAGTGAAGAAATAACGTAGAATTCTCGCAAACCGAAAAACACGAATGGAATTAAATATGAGAATCAGACAGAACCATCTGATGTATTGAGACAGAAGCAAGTTGGAGAAAGATACAAGTAATGTCGACATCGTGAGGAAGTTTGCAGTTGAGAAACGGGGTTTAGACTTTTTGAGTCTTGGCATAGAAGATACAATTCCCCCAAATATTGTAGCCACACGCCAACTAAATGTCGACATTTTTATGTAATTGCATTTTTTTATTATTATTTTCTTTTTAATTGTTAAGTACAACGTTGCCCCTAACCAATTTTTTGGATTGGAAAAAAACATTTTATTGGATTAAAAAAATTGTATCCCATAAAGCATCAACTTGACATTAATTACCATATTGTTTTCGATATATGTAGATTCTGATTATCCCATTGGATGCTTAATCACATAGTTACATAGTGTAAGTATCTCAGTTTTAAGATTTTAACTACAACTTGTTTATTGGTCTAAGAGAAAAATAATATTTCGGTGGTATTTCATATGCTCTATAGCTTTTTTACCATGTTAATTACCCAATTTTGGTCATTGAGATTCATCGTTAATATAGATTAAGGAGCTATGAACATATAGTACTTCTCTTTTTTTCTCCTCCAAAAAAATAGCATAGAAAATTGAATTAATTGAAGTTATTTTGTTTTAAATATGGCATTATCTTAGGTATATAGTATATCTTAATTTAATTGTGTATGAAACATGAAAAAGAGGGAAGAAACCACCAGAGAATGGTTTTGGCGGAAAAAAAAAAAGAATGGTTTGGCCTTAAGAACTGTAACTATCTCCAAAGTCCAAAGTAAATTCTATATTAAAGAGTTTAATCACTCAACCACAAGAGACAAACCACACATTCACGATGACAACAACACCATTATTTCCGAAGAGCAACACACACATCATTTCATAAGTGACCTTGTCAAATGTTCTCTTGCAGTCGCGAGTGCCTGACTTATCGTCTGAAGGAAAAAACCGCAGAGAAATGTAACAAGTTCATTAGTGTTACTTTAGATTTCTGATTAATGTAACTTCTTTCAAGGTTTGTATCAAGAAGATGTAATTATCAAGGAAAATATGATCACATTTTCAAAAACACGATACCTGCTCGGATAGAGGAGCGTTAGGGTCAGCGCTATTGATCCCTGCTTTACCTGCGATCACATTTGCGTCCGTCTCCAGAACAATACTGAAATATAAGATAGTATTATTTAACTATGTAACCTATGAAACCGTTCATTTATCTAATGGTTCTAGAAATGTCGATAAGAAGAAAGATATATACCTGCCATCGATAATTTCATCAAAGCACAGGAAGATGAGATCAAGGTTGTCTAGTGCCTCTCTCTTGTCAACATTGCCTCTGTAATTACGGTTCAGAAGAGAGGAAGGTCGAAATTTGAGCTAAATTGGGAATGTAGAAATAATATAACAAAATCTGCTATGGTTAGACAAACCTAAGGAGAAGGGTCACTGCATCGAAGAGTCCCTCAAGCACACTGGTTAATATAAGCTCGTTTTCCTCTTCACCGCTCGTAACAAAGAAATGGAGATCTTGCACAAATTTGTACACAACAATGTTGTTCTCCAATGCTGTCACTTCCACTGCGTATCAAGAACTTAGCAATTGTAACCGCTGAGTTTATGGATGTGTAATAAAACAGTTTTCATGAAACATACTCAACAAGACACTGAGTATCTAAAACATGATTGATTACGAAATCTACCTTCGGTCCAAGCATTAGTTTTCTGAGTCTTGGTGAACACCGATTTTTCGAAGGCTTCCTTCTCTGAATTCGTTGGCCAGTCATCTGAGTAATACTTAACCGCTACACGCTTTCCTTCCGAATCCAAAAGCAAGATGTTTTTCACTTTTGGGGGTAATTCCTAAATGTAAAAATAAAAACACAGGAAAGCATAAAGATTATGAGATTATGAAAGTAATTGAACATGAATCTGTGAATAGTAACAATCTCTTTCTGAATATTGTACAATTAGCTAATGTGTAAATATCCATCCGAGAATCAAGCGTAAGTTCAATCAAATATCAAGACAATCGCGTATTTTATAACATTTCACCTGAACAATAAAGTGGAGGTTACTATCAAACTAATGCTACTCTAATGGCATGGAATCGAACTTCATAGAAAATGTCTTCATAACCCTAAAACATTGATCAAATAAATGTGCCATATGTATCCCATAATAATCATAAACATATATACAAGGTCTTAAGAAACCAAACTGCTAAACAACACTCTTGCTTCTATTCCAAACTTATCTAAAAATATGACATGCCATAGAAACAAAACCAATGCGGCACTACACACATGTTGAACAATACTAAACCATTAACAAAAAAACCAAGATTTTGAAGAATAATCAGTCAAACAAGATTACCAACTCAAACTAGCTCCTCTGCTTTCAAATTAAAGCCTAAACTCCTGTTTTTTTGGCTATTCACGATCATTCTAAACAAAGTTAAATTTTTATTATATGACAAGTTTTCGAAAGATCTTAGATGATTGTATCTATAGATCCTGTTAATTACTTCGAACTACCCTTCAAAAATTTCACAAACTCGCTGTCAAAGTAAGAATTACAAAATCTGAAATTTGTTACTTATCGCATGCATGTAAATTATTACAAACTCGAAGATAATCCATAGAAACCGAATCGGTGCAAGAGAAACAGAGAAGAAACCGATGGAAAAGAAGATGAATATAGATTCATACCATGGCGTAAGGTGAAGAAATCTGCAGAGAATGCCCTAGAATCGTATGGCAGAGAAAATTTGAAGAAACGTTAACTTACAAATAGGCAAATTCATATTTCCAGAAATAATAAAATTTTCTACTAAAAATCTAAAACACTTGTTTATTTTTTCTCTTAATAATTATTTAATTACTTGCCTTTTTCTTCTTCTGTTCAACTTAGTATATTTCGTGCTAGCTGTTTAAGTTCACTTTGTTTTCTTGTGACATCAGTCAACTTGATATTGGAAGCGAAGAATCCAGAGTTTCCATTTTGAAGACGTCACTCGGTCTGGGTTTCTATAAACCGGTTCGTGAATCAGTCCGGACCGAGATTTGGGTATATTTGGTATAGTATATACTGCCATCTTGGGCCCTAGCTCTTGGGAACGTTAAAACGAGCTTTCACTCGGCCCGTCTCAATCATCCAAAATTCTGTCAGCCCAAAGCATGTGCCTCTCAAAGGCACGCCTAATTTTTTTTTTTAATCAAAATTGATCAAATTGTTACAAATTTTTTAGTCGTTGCGTAACATGTATTAATAGAAGTTGTGAACAGTTGTGTGATCAGTTTATTTACACGAAATATATAAACTGCAATATAAAATTTGATGTTTTCTTTATTTTATTTTTTTCGTCCAAAGGAATTCATATTGAAATGTTGAAATCGGTACAAAGAGTTCGAGCTATCGGTTCGGGAGGATTAACAGAACTAGAAATACAAGAGGGATTCATTCATACATCCACTTCTTGCTAACAAATGAGCAGCTTTATTTAGAAAAATCTTAGTAAGCTTTGGAAAAGATAAAAGCTAATTAGTTGGATAAGAAAATGTTTAAATGCACTACCTTGAGTATTTTTAAATTATTTTGGTAATGGTGTCTGCTTAATTATTGTTCGAAAGAAAATGTTAACCAATACTATATAGCTTACTTAAACATGAATTCCATTTTTAAGTCTCACAATTTACTAGATTACCAAAAACAAGTTTCAATATTATGTATGGTCAAACATGCAGTATATATATGTAGTTACTATATATATGCAGAATATTAATACTCATCAACAGTCACAACAACATATAAGCAAGATCCAGAAAAAAAACTTGGAACAAAAAGATGAAGTTAGCTGCAATTTTCTTGGTTTCTTGCGTCTTATTCTCTCTTGTCCCAAGCCTAACCATAGCGGAGAAAAGGCCCTGGTGTCCAACAAGAAAACAAATATTTGATGGATCATGTAATAGAACTGATTACACACAATGCTTTAACGACTTAAGAAACACATGGGATGATATTGGAGATCTTGGTCCAACTGATTGCACTTGCACTCCTCAACCACAGAACAAGCGTCTCTGTTATTGTCGTTACTTGCCGTGTCCTAGTACTTAAATCCTCCAATATGATAGAGATGTCCAAAACTGATTGTTCTCATGTTTCCTAAATCTAATAATAAAAACAATCTCAACAAATGTCTTTTACAATCATTTTAATAGTCGTGATTTTTGGTGGTAACTCTTTAAAATATATTTAATTTTATTTTAAATTACTAAAATATTAAATAAATTTTTGTATTCGCTTAGTTGAACATTAACATTTGGTTTACTTACGAACCATTGTAAATTTTTGTTTATTTTATGAACCACTGCAACCCTTAGTTTATTTAAAAAAAACTGTTGCAACATCTCGTATATTTGATATTTACAATTATGTCTCTCGGTATAACTCTGCATAAAAAGATTCTTTTTTAATTTAGTTAAATAATTTTTTGCAAACCGTTTAATTGAACTGCTGCAACATTTACTTTAGAGAAATTGTTAAAAATGCCCCTTTTTCAATACCTCTTTTCAAAAATGCCCCTTTTGAGAGTCCATTTTTAAGTTTGCCCTCTTTTAATTTTTAATGACCATTTTACCCTTATTTGAAACAAAATTAGGTCCACAAAATACAAAATATTTTTTGGCGGGAAACGTGATCTCGCAATTTTCCCGCCAAAACACTTGTAAAAACCTTTAAAATACCTTGTAAAATTTTCCCGTAAAAAATTTTCTCGCCAAAAAATATTCCCGCCAAAAATTTTTTTTGCGGGAAAAGTGATTCCGCAATATTTTTGGCGGGAAAATTTTTGGCGGGAAAAATTTACAAGGTATTTAAAAGGTTTTACGGAGTATTTACAAGTGTTTTGTAAGGTTTTACAATGTATTTTAAAAGGTTTTACAAGGTACTTATAAGGTTTTATAAGGTATTTATAACTTGTAAAACCTTATAAAAAACTTGTAAAACCTTATAACTTGTAAAACCTTATAAAATAGCTTGTAAAATCTTATAATATCTTATAAATACTTTATAAATACGTTGTAAAACCTTTTAAAATACATTGTAAAACCTTATAAATACCCTGTAAAAACCCTTTAAAATACCTTGTAAATTTTTCCCGCCAAAAATTTTCCCGCCAAAAATTTAACGCCAAAAAATTTGCGGAATCACTTTTCCCGCAAAAAAAAATTTTTGGTGGGAAAAAATTTTACGGGAAAATTTTACAAGGTGTTTTAAAGGTTTTACAAATTTTTACAAGTGTTTTGGCGGGAAAAATTGGGGGATCACTTTTCCCGCCAAAAAATATTTTGTATTTTGTGGACCTAATTTTGTTATATTTCCTTATATATTTATGATATCCTTTATTAAAAGAATGGTAATTTAGTCATTTTGTACATAAAAGGGGTATTTTTAAAAATGGACATCCAAAGGGGACATTTTTAAAAAGGGGTATTGAAAAAGGGGCATTTTTGTGAGTCTCCCTTTACTTTATTTGACTAATCATTGCAATTTCTGGTTTATTTTATGATCCGTTGTAATCTTTAGTTTAATCGACGAACCTGCAACCTCTGACATATTTGATATCTACGGTCGCGTTTCTCGATATAACATTTTATTAAAAAAAATTAATACTGATTTACTAAAATATATATTTGAACAATTACAATATTTGATTTATTTGACCATTGCAATTTTTGGTTTGTTTTGCAACCACTGATATACTATAATTTAAATCTATAGTCGCGTCTCTTCATTATAACTCTATTTTCATCCGTTTGCGTTTTTCTATCGTAACCTTTTCTAAACTATTTTTATTTATTTTTTGTGTGAATAAATTTTTTATATGATTGCGGTTTTTCATCTTAACTCTTCGCTAAATATTTTATAATAACAATCTATATAACTATTTCCTAAGGTTGTGTCTTTTCATCGTACCGGGTCGTAAAATAATTTTATTTATTTAATATGAATAAATGCCTTTTAAGGTTGTGTCATTTCAGTGTAACCCTTCATTTATATTTTCTTTTAATTTTTAATAACAACACTTTTGTAAAATTGTGTATTTTCAAAGTTGGACCAAGTCATTTAAAATTGTGTCTTTTCACCCATTTTAATTTGTATTTTTGTTTTATTTTTAATTTGCATAAATGATTTCTTTGGTTGCATTTTTTCATTAATCTATTAAAAATATCTTCTACAATTTTGGCTCCGATTGGTAACCAATTTTGAGGAAAAGAATGAGTAAGAATGTCATGTTCTTTTTGTTCCTCATTTTTTTTTACCATTTATAAGGAATTTTTGTTCTATTTTCAGACATGTGGGTCCTACATTTTTCCTCTTCATTCCTCAAAAAAAAAAGAATGATAGAACAAAATTGTTCCTCCCCAAAATTGTAGAGGAACAACAAGGAACAAAAAATTTAAATTCGTTTTTAATTTTTAAATAATTTTAAAATAGCTTTTTTGATAATATTTACATTTTTATACATAAATAATTCCTATATTTTTATTATATATTTATGTATAAAATTTTTTTATCAAAACTTTAATTTAAATGAATCTTAGACTTTGTTTTAAATTAGTATTTATACTAAAATATATAAATAAATGCTTTCAAGTGAAATTTATATTATTTTAAAATAAAATATTTTAATTTATACTATATTTCGTTTCAAATTAAAATAAAACATTAATTTTAGATAAAATTTATAAACTAAATAAAATACATAATTTTTAATAATTATTATGTTAAATATTTGTTCAATTTTTTGGTTACCATTTACGAAAATCATTTATTCAATTCTTATGTTCCTTTTGGTTCCTGGTTTTGATCATTTTCCTTTCCTTTTTGTTCCTTTTCATTCCTTTTTTTTCATGTTCCTATTGTTCTTTTTTTGTCACCAATCGGAGCCTTTGTCTTTTTACAAAGTTGGTTCTAGTCATTTAGAATTGTGTCTTTTTACCATATTTTTTGTATTTTAATCTTATTTTTTTTGTTATAGAAGTTATTTATTTTACAAACAGTTGTGTAAATTTAAATGTTCATATCTTTTGAACTCTATACATTTTGTCTATATTTTTAGGTACTTACAAAATATTCAATTAAAAATGGCAACTTCTTTTCAGAAGAGAAGATTGATGGCCCAAGATTGAAGAGGAATCCTAACAAATACATTTTAAGATGAGTAGTTGACTAACACATGAAACTTTGATATATTTTTGTATTTCTACTTGAAAAAGATTTATTTAATTATATTTGATTTACATTTTTTTGAATCGACAGTTAAAAATAAATTGAATTTAGTTTTTTTTTTTTTCATATCGTTTGCATAATATATTTAATTTAATTTGAGAATGAAAAAAATATTTGTTACCTTTTCTTTAGACCTAAGTATATATTTTAGATTATTTTCTATATTTATGTTAACATAATGTCAAAATCTAATGTAACTTTTACACGTGTTAAAATCTTATCACGATACTTGATACATGTCGCAATCATATGAATTACTATCTTTAAAAACTATACTTTATATAATAAGATAGACTTCCATATATATAATATTATAATCTATTTAGGTTTTTTTCTAACATTAATAATTTAATATAAAAAATGAAAATGTTGTTAAAACTAGGAAAAAATCATGAAACATTTTCAAATAAACGGCCACATTGGATCTGCTTTGTGTATATATGTAAAATATAACTTCTTGGAGACAATCACAAGCTCATAACAACACATAAGCAAAGAAAAACACAGAAAATCCTTGCAAGAAAATATGAAGTTTGCTGCAATCTTCTTGGTTACTTGTGTCTTATTCTCCCTTCTCCCAAGCCACCTGTCACAAGGTCTTCTAATAATTCTACTGAAGTTATCATTTTGCTCATCAAAATTCGGTTAACCTAAACCAGTTTGGTTTAACTCTTTTTATTGTTGTTGAATAATTAGGTAAAAAATCAAGCATGGATCCTACGAGGAGGCCGTGGTGTCCGTCGAAAAAACAAGTGTTTGGTGGTCACTGTGGAAACGATGGAGCACATCTTTGTCTAAATCTTTTAGCAAGTAGTTGGGATAATAGTGTAAGGCATAGCCCCATCTCCTGCAATTGCACTGATTATCCTAACTACAAAGTTCTCTGTAGTTGTCCTAATATGATTTGCCCCTAGAAATTTCTATGTATCAAGAATAATGTTTCAGTTTCCGATAAAAAGACCAAAGATGATATACTTAATTCGTTACAAAGAATTATATTCTACATGCACCACATACATCATAGGTTTTTTTTTTTTAAATCGTATCAAACAAAACCGCAATGAATACACTACAGTTCTTTGGTAAGCTTATCTCCATTAACAATTCACATTTTCTCTGAATGGAACAACAAGAAACCTTTGGTCTTATTTTTTAAAATCTTCTTTAAAAATACTTTCCACTCTCAGTTTAGTTTTGTACCAATTGGAGATCAAGGGCCCTTACGCCCATCTTCGAAGGTGGGCTGTCAAAGCCTAAACAAGTGTTCGAAGGCTTAGATCACTGCTTGGTAAACAAGTAGAGTTACATAATCTATTTGTCTTATTCCTTTTTCAATGTGTGAGTAGTTCTCCAATTGGATTTTAGGGTTCTAATTAGAAGAGTCATTAGGAATTCTCCATCCCTAGGTTTTTATTTATTTACATTCTCTTAATGCAAAATAGGATTGATCACCCTGTTTTAGACGATGATAAATTTTTCTATTTATCAAAAGTGTTTGATAGAATGCCAGAAAGATTGTAAATTGAGCAATGTATTTCTAACCAACGAGAGTTGATGTTAGAACGCATTGTGAAACAAATGAACCTGTTTGATAACGCGACTTTGATTAGGTAATTACAAATGAAAGTTTAGTAATCGAGTAGCAAAATTTATTGGTTAATGTCATGAAAGAGAATTAGACTAAACTTGTGTTCATGTTCGAGAATGGTTCTTCATTGTTTAATTTCGTATTATGTGTATTCTACTAATCATTGTTCTTTGAAATACCCTATATCACAATGTCTTTAATTCATAAGTTAAATCGATTATTTACTTTGCAATTTTATTTACAACTCTGAAAACCAATAAGCAAACTTCAAAATTTTAGCTAAGAAAGAGTTTCACAAATCTTTAGTGTACCATTGATTTTTATGGATCGACCTCATACATATTTTTAAGTCCAACCATTTACTAGATTACCAAAAACAAGTTTCAATATGATGTATGGTCAAACATGTAGTATAGCTATATATATACATATAGCTACTATATATATGTAGAATATTAGTACTCAACAGTAACAACAACATATAAGCAAGATCGAGAAAAAAACTTGGAACAAAAAAATGAAGTTAGCTGCAATTTTCTTGGTTTCTTGTGTCTTATTCTCTCTTGTCCCAAGCCTAACCATAGCGGAGAAAAGGCCCTGGTGTCCAACAAGAAAACAAATATTTGATGGATCATGCAATAGAACTGATTACACACAATGCTTTAACGACTTAAGAAACACATGGGATGATATTGGAGATCTTGGTCCAACCGATTGCACTTGCACTCCTCAACCACAGAACAAACGTCTCTGTTATTGTCGTTACTTGCCTTGTCCTAGTACTTAAATCCTCCAATATGATAGAGATGTCCAAAACTGATTGTTCTCATGTTTCCTAAATATTTTCAATAATAACCAAAATCTTCATCTGAGTTCTAGTATTCGTAATAATAACAATGGTTTAAATTTCCGATGAGAACTCTCAAACATATCCGCAATATCTTATTATCAAAAACTAATTTGGGTGGTGATATAACACTCTATATGCAGTGATAATATTATCAACTTATTAAATTACATGTCATGATCAAAAACAATATAATTATTAACCAAGAGATTTGAATTATTTTGTACCAGACCCTTCCCACAAGCACAAAAAAGTGAATCAAAGGATTTATATCTATGGGTTCCTGCGAGACGCACCGTCCGTCGTAAGCTTAACCCACCCTTCACTTGGTACCTTCCACCTAATCAGCCTTCCTTACCTCCTCCGCCATGTCTTTGATAAACTTCAATCTGTCTCAACACAATTTCGTTCCCCAAAGATGTCACTACACCTCCACTTCCACGCCTACCAAACAGCCATATACTAAACAGTGTTGGCCAATTCTCCTTTGCGGGATCAAAATTATCGAATAACCATTCCAGCAAGGTCTTGGTATAGAGCGCATTCTGCTTCCTTCGAGGGACTAGCCGCATCCAAAGTCAAGTCATCGCATGGCAGTCCCTCGACACATGTACTATCGATTCCTCAGCCCCATATACATTTTATATTACTAATTTATTGAGGTTTTACGGTAATAGATTATATATTTCCATATATATAGTCTATTAAGTGAATTACTAAATTTCATATAATTAATATGATATAAACCCTCCCAATAGCGTTAAATTTTGTTTGTTTGATTGTTTTTTTCCTTTCATTGGAGTAATTAAATAGGGTAATTTCTAGGCATGTCAAAAATAACAGATTCTGGCTTAATTAAATATGTCTAGAAAAATTGGATCTTTCAAGCTAAGTCCATTCGGGCTAAATGGTTTTTAGGATTTAGCCTGGTAAGGTCGGGCCAGCCCGAAAAGATTTTTAAAAATACTTTGACTTTTCCTAATTTAAAATCTTTAAATTTGATATTTATATATAGATCTTGATGACGAAAAGGAAATAGAAGGTATTAATGCTGAGAAAGATTTAGAAGACATTGAAGAAGATTCAAAATTTGGCTCTACTAGCTAGTTTTTGTTGTGAATTTGTTGTTCTTATTGATTAATGAATGAGGTTTCAATACATATATATACATGACAAGGGGAGACAAATCCCCATTGGGCTTGTAAACCCTAAAGCCCAAAAGCCCACTAAGTATAATATAGACCGTCATAAGGAGAATCTTCTAGAACATACAATGGGCCTTCTAGAACATGGACATGGGCCTTGTAGAATATGGATTAGGCCCAACGGTTATGGAGTCCATCCGACCATGCGGTCTATAACACTTCCCCTTGGATGACATAACCGTGTAGATGCCAAAGGATCTCAGTAATACGCTTGGGGATGCTGCCTCATTAAAACCTTACCAGGAAAACCCATTGGGACAAAACCATGGTTAAGGAAAAAGAGTACAGCACGTATTACTCTCCCTGTTTTGGTCATCCCTGCAAGTCCTTAAGTCTCCGCATACCAATTTGATGCGTGAGCTTCCTCAATGTCGATGTTGGTAACGCCTTGGTGAAAAGATCGGCTGAGTTGTCGCTGGATCGAACTTGTACCACTCAAACTTCTCCATCCCTTTGCAAGTCATGCGTGAAGAAGAACTTCGTTAGAATGTGCTTCATCCGATCTCCCTTGATGTAGCCGTCCTTGAGCTGAGCGATTCAGGCTGTGTTGTCTCCTCATTTGATGGTCTTTGATGTTGTAGTAGCTGCGCCTTGAAAAAGGCTGCCTACGTACCCTTGGAAGGGATCAAGCCACACGTAGTTCCTATTTATTGACCATGCCATAATCTGATTTTACCTGCATCAGCAAAACAAACTAAACCAAAGCAAACTAGATCTTCTTTGGTTAGATCAGTATAGAATAAAACCCAAATAAACAAACATAGGAAGAATAGAATTTAAAATTTAACCAAACCTTCCTTCAAACCTTTCTAGTGCCTTTGGGTTGATCATGAACTAAATTTAGACAAAGAAGGTTCACGGCAAAACATATGTCTGGTCTAGTGTGGCTAGCCAAGTACATTAACGCTCCTATGGCACTGAGGTATGGCACTTCAGGACCGAGAACTTCTTCCTCGTCCTTCTTTGGACCGAATGGATCACTATCCAATCTAAGGCTTCTCACCACCATTGGACTGCTCAATGGGTGGGCCTGGTCCATATTGAATCTCTTGAGTACTTTTTCAGTATATGCCTTTTGATGCACAAGGATTCCATTATTCACGTACTCAAGTTGCAATCCCAAACAGAATTTTGTTTTGCCTAGGTCTTTCATCTCGAATTCTTTCTTTAGATATTTGACTGTTTGGGCGATTTCCCCAGAGGTTCCAAGGATGTTCAAATCATCCACATATACTGCTATTATCACAAACCCTTTGTTTGCGAATTTCTTTATGAAGATACATGGACTGATGGGATCATTTTTATAACCTTCTCTGACTAGGTACTCGCTTAATCTATTGTACCACATGCGCCCACTTTGTTTTAGTCCATAAAGCGATTTGTTCAGCCTTATGCAGTATTGGTCCCGAGACACTTTCTTATCTTTATCTTTGAGCTCAATACCCTCTGGTAATCTCATATATATTATCCAGTGGACTTATATAAATATGCAGGCATTACATCCATTAGCCGCAAATCAAGTCTTTTTCTTTATATAGCCAGACTTAGCAAAATTTAAATGTCTTAGCATCCACCACAGGGGAGTATGTTTCTTCATAATCTATCCCCGGTCTTTGTGAGAATCCTTGTGCTACAAGCCGTGCCTTATATCTCACGATTTCATTATTCTCATTTCTCTTCTTCACAAAGACCCATTTGTGTCCTACTGGTTTTTACATCGAATGGTGTCCTTAAGGTCGGACCAAACTCATTCCTTTTCTTAATGATTCTTAGCTCCACGTTTTATGGTCTTGTACCATTTAATCAATCAAGTCTTTGAGTGCACTCTAGTATAGACGTGGGCTCCTGATCCTCATTTATATTCATAAATTCAAGTGCTACCTTGCATGCAAAATCATCTTATGTCGACATTTCTTATATGTTCCATTATGTTCCAGACATGATATAATCGATTTGAGATTTATTATGGTCAGGACCTTTAATACTTTGCAGCTTGGCGTCCCAAGCTACATTATATGGTACCTGTACCTTAGAGCCGGCCGGCCTTATCTCCATGTCTGGGATGGTTTCCTTAGTAACCTCGGATTCCTATTGCACCTTTATTTAATTTCCGAGGGTTTTTATCTTTGGAACCTATTGGTCTACCACGTTTCTTTCGTGTGTTAGACTCGGTAGCAATTTCATTGATTCCCTTTTGGATATCAATACGTACTGGTGCATTACAAGCTGGTATGTACGTTTTTGTAACTTTCTTTGGGTCAGCAAAGGAATCTGGCAATTCATTAGCTAGCTTTTGCAAATTTATTATTTTCTGGACCTCTGATTCACATGCCAGAGTCCGAGGATCTTGCCAATTTAAGGATGTTTGATTCCATTATATTTCTTTTATTGCTTTACCCAGCTTGTTCGTCTCTCCACCTATAGTAGGAAATTCGGATTCATTAAAATGACAATCCGCGTATCTAGCCTTAAATAGATCACCCGTAGTTGGCTCTAGATACTTAATAATGGTGGGAGAATCAAATCCAACATATATTCCCATCCTCCTTTGAGGTCCCATCTTTGTTCTATGTGGTGGAGCAATCGGTACATATACGGCACACCCGAAAGTCTTTAGATGGGATATATGTCTGGCTCATGACCCATGAGTAATTGGGATGGTGAATATTTATGTTCACTAGATGGCCTTATGCGTATAAGCTCTGATGCATGTAAAACAGTGTGTCCCCAAGCGGCTACTGGAAGCTTCGACCTCATGAGTAATGGTCGAACGATCAATTGAATTCGTTTAATGAAGGATTCCGCTAATCCATTCTGTGTATGTACATGTGCTACGGGATGTTCCACACTTACCCCCATGGACATACAGTAGTCATTAAACGCTTGGGACGTGAATTCACCGGCATTATCTAGACGTATAGTCTTAAGCGGAAAATCTGGAAAGTGGGCTCTCAGTCTTATGATCTGGGCCATGCGGTATTTAAGACCGAATCGTGAAATCGATTTTAGACTAGTCCATGAGGTATTTAAGACCAAACCATGCGACTATCTTGTCTATGCATCAATGAGGACCATGAAATATCTAAATGTCCCACATGGTGGGTGTATTGGTCCACATATATCCCCTTGTATCCTTTCCAGAAAATTTAATGTCTCTTTATTTATCTTTGCCGGTGATGGCCTTATAATGAGTTTTCCTTGTGAACATGCTTCACACGTGAGATTCTTAGGGATAACTCTTTTCTCTTTTAGGGTGTGCCCCTTTGAATTTATCATAAGCTTACGCATCATACTATGACCCGGATGGCCAAGCCGGTCATGCCATAAAGTGAATTTCTCTATGAACTCTTTGTTCATTGCCATATTAGCTTCGATCATATCGATTTTAGCATAGTAGAGACCAGTGGATAATGCGGGTATAGTCTCTAGGACTTTCTTATGTCCTTGGGTGATCTCTTTGTTCCCTTCACCCTTTGTTTCAATATGGAAACCATTCAATCTTATATCTTTGAAACTTAATAAGCTCCTCTTCGAGGTGGGTGAATATAGGGCATCGCTTAGTTCAAGATGCGTGCCATTTGGTAATAGAATATGGGCTTGGCCGTAGCCCTCAATAAGATTTGCTATACCCGGTAAGTGCTAATATTGGCATTTTTCATTATGAGATTTAGGAAAATATCTCATATCTTTTGTGTGGCTCCACTATCCACCACAATTATGTTCTTGTCCTCGGCCATTTCTTATATGGACAAGAATCATGTTCTAAACATAAAATAATATAAAATAAATTCAAGCAAATAACAATCAATGAACACATAAAATGCAAAGAAAAACATAGAGGTTTTGATGTCGAAGTAAAATTTATCAACTTGATTCTTTTATGCAATCAGAAGTTTCATACTCTATTAGATCATCTTGATCATGTTCACCATCTTTATATACCAAATGGGCTTTAGGATTCTTCCCTTTTACACTCTCTTGATAGAGGTCACAACGATGTTTGGAAGTCCTACATATCTTAACCCAATGGTTTCCCATTCCACATCTATGGCATACTCATTTGGTCGAGTGTTGTGGTTTGGAAATACCACATCGTCCTCGCCCTCGACCACGGCCGGAATTGGGTCTACATCCACGGTTATAGTGGTTCCCACGGCCGGATGAGTTATAGTGGCCACAACCACGTCCTTTCCATCCACTACGGCTACGGCCGTGTGGTCTATTACTTTAGACGTGGTTAGATTCTTTGGATTCTTTCTTATCTTCTGCGGCCTTATTAGCATCAGGTAAT